AAAGTTGCAGAAAGTTTAAGAAAATCACACAAAATCCTACGACTAGGGAGTGGTAGAGCTGAGAATTAAGGGCAGATCTTTTTGATTGCAGAGCCCATACCCTTAGGCAATCTGTGACAGTATCTCTCCAAGAGAAACACTGGGTCATTACTTTCTGATACGCTAGGGATATGCAAGGACCCATGTGTTTCTCTGCCGTTCACCCTACTAGTATTTGCATGCTGCTATTGATTTGGGTACAGAACAAAAATGCCTGAAAGAGGAATGACATCCAACTTTTCTCCCTCAGATTACTTCCCCTAAGGCTGCTCCTGGAGATTACATAACTAACTGCCCCTAACGCTGGTGGTCGTCACTGGTAACAGGAACAGTCCTGTAAAGCCAGATGAGGGTAGAAATCCATAAATATGCTCTGTTTAGAATTTAAAAGGAGAATATCATTTTCATGATATTCGATTCTAGATATTCTTATGCCAAAAAATAAACACAGATGCAGAATAGCACGAAGGACTGAACATTCACAAGATGTAATACTTCTCTGTCCACTAAAAGGTTGGAGGTCTAACTCAGAAGCACTTGCAGTGAATTGTTCACATAACGGTGCATGAATTATCTTTAGCGTGCTGGATTTATTCAGTTTCTTCTTCATTAAAAGAGAAGTGACTTTAGATACCTTCTTGGACTCCTGATTATACTGTGGAATCAGCTCATGACATGAATTTGCATTCACTTTGACCTCTAACAAGCAGAGTTTAGAGGGAAAAATAACGGAAAAAAGCTTTCACTTTCTGCCATAACCAACATAGTCACTGAAAAGGAATTTCTTACCCCAAAATATATCTCTTTGGAATTAAGATTACTTTGAGCTAGTTATTTAAGAAACACTAGACATAGGAGAAGCTCTGAAAACCAAGTAGAAGTTACTCTTTTTAAGAGACACTTACAAACCGACAACATAACGCCATTTGCAGCAACATGGATGCTCCTGGAGAATGTCATTCTAAGTGAAGTAAGCCAGAAAGAGAAAGAAAAATACCACGAGATCGCTCATATGTGGAATCTAAAATAAAAACAAAAACAAAAACAAAGCATAAATATAAAACAGAAACAGACTCATAGACATAGAATACAAACTTGTGGTTGCCAAGAGGGAGGGGGTTGGAAAAGATAGACTGGGATTTCAAAATTGTAGAATAGATAAACAAGATTATACTGTATAGCACAGGGAAATATATACAAGATCTTACGGTAGCTCACAGAGAAAAAAATGTGACAATGAATATATATATGTTCATGTATAATTGAAAAATTGTGCTCTACACTGGAATTTGACACATTGTAAAATGATTATAAATCAATAAAAAATGTTAAAATTAAGAGACATTTAAAAGGGAAATCTCCATTTTTAAGGAAGCAAGGATGACTGTATCTCTAGAAACTCTTATAAATGGAGAAGGCAAGGACTTAAATCTGCATAACAACTATAACCTTGTTTACTGTGCTTTTCCTTGATTCCCTCCCATAACTGACTCTTCCTCCACCCCAACATCTTTTGTCTTTAGTGGAGAAGATATTTAAAGTGATAACTTGGGCCATTTTGGGGTACTCAGTCTTCCTGGATATCTCCCATTTATATAAGAGGTATACATGTGTGAAATAAAATTCATATTTTATGGTAAGACAAGAAAAATTTAAAGATAAAAAAATTCTTCACTGCCTTTTGGCCTCCTCTCTCCCCGACTGTGCACTGGGCATGTGCATTATGCACCAAACGTGCCCCATCAGCAGGAATACCTGTGCAACCATAAGGAGCAACATGCTCCTAGCATCAAGACAACTCCTTAGAAGATAACATTCCTTCTTGATCCTATGAGGGATCACATGACCAACCAGGATGACGCTTAGATCTGGATAACCTAAACTGTCAATAATACGTCATTTGATGTATAGCCCTCTGTCTCAATAACTTATATAACTGTGCCTTGACTTCTAACCAGAACAGTTCTCAGAGCTTTCTGAGATGCTTTTCCTGGTTATAATCCTCAAATTTGGCTCAAATAAAATTTTCCATTTCTTTCTTAGATTGACTGATTAATTTTTTGCCAACAAAATGTTATTACATTTCTGTTTGTTTTTCTCCTTTTAATCCATCTTTTTTATTTCCTGGGGGTCTCAGCTAAGAACCTAGAAGGGTAGACGGAAAATTGTTCTCTCCCCTAAATCATCTAGCAAGTAAAGTCACAGCCAGTTGAGATGTGAATTATTCTATGATAATGAAGTGTCACTCTTCAGTGTGTGATACTATATACTTTATAGTCAATTTAAGGCCCTAAATGTTTCTCAGTCTATAAAAATTTTATCAGTAGATACCTTGGTAAAAGTCATTTACCAATAAAAGCATATGAAATAAGCCATTTTAGAATATAGTTGATAATCATTTTCCACAGTAAAAAAATAATCTGTCTGGAGAGTAATATAAAGAAATAAGCATAATGAATTTACTGAACTTTAGGTCTGTTTCAATGCAGACAATGCACTAGTGCCAATAAAATTCTACCTGTTAATTTATAGTATCTTTTAAAAATCACCTTTACCAATGTTAAATTTTATAATTTTATATCTTAATTTTGTAGTTTTATATCTAATAGGTACTCAATATTTTATTAAAACACTTCATTTATTGAAATATAAACTAATGATATGGTATCATGGGTTTCATTTTACTTCTTATTTTTAAGTGACAAAGTACTATTTACAAGTAAGATTCGAATCTGCACTTCATAAAATGTTTTCCAATTTAACCAAGTAAGCTTGACTATCTTCCTTCTATCATTTCAGTAAAAATGTGGGTAAATAAGTAGAGAATATTCAGGCACTAAAAAGACAAATGTGAAAAACAAAAGAGAAAGAGAAAGCTGGCTGGCCAGATAAGTGACAGAATACTTTGTATTGAGAACTGTTTAAAATCTAATTAGTTTAGTATCTAATCTAGTGGTTTTCAAATTGCAGTCTCCAGACCAGCACTTGGCACCATCATGGGAGCTTATTAGAAATGCAAATTCTTGACCCACATCTCAGACCTACTGAATCAAAAACTCTGAGGCCGACAACCTGGCAACCTGAGTTTTCACATGTCCTTTGGTAATTCTGATGTGAACTAAACTGTGAGAACTTTGCTCTAGTCCATTCATTCATTTATTCATTCATCCATCACATACATTGCTAACTTCTTATCACATGCTAGGCACTAGGTGAGTAGCTGGGCCAGAAATAAAGACTAATGTATCAACAGCAACAATTTATTGAAAGCTTACTCTTTGACAAGACTAAGATCATTAGCCCTTATAACAACCTTAGAAGTATTTCTATTGTTATGTTCCAAATCTATTTTTGGGAGGACAATGGGAGCACCACCAGGCAGCAACCAGCACTGTTGGAGAAGTGCCTAGCTCTGCCCCAGAGAATCCCAGGTGGTGTTGCCCAGACAACGTGACACCTGAGTTGCCTCCAAATTTGAACTGAATTTCCCAAGAAAAAACAAACTGAAGGAAACTGAAAGAAACTATGTTATCAGATAGTTTTCTAGGGAATTCACATTCTGTAATTTATCACAACAGCCCTCTGAGGAAATTAGCAACTCTTTTAAAAATTCAAAACAACAACATGAACCTAAATGAGTAATTGTCTAAAGCCATAAATTTTCAAGTTTAAGAGAAGGGAGTTGAGCCTGGCTTGAACCCAGAGCACCTGCAAATCCTCTGAGGTGTGACAATACATGGTCAGGAAGTTTAGTATGCTAAGAGTGATAGGGTTGTGAGGAGATACAATGGACTACTACTCAACCATGAAAAGGGATAAAATAATGCCATTTGTAGAAACATGCATGGACCTAGAGATTATCATACTAAGTAAGTCAGACAGAAAGAAAAATATCATATAATGTCACTTACACGTAGAATCTTCCAAAAAATGATACAAATGAACATATTTACAAAACAGAAAGAGTCTCACAGACAGAGAACAAACTTATGGTTACCAAATGGGAAGAGGGGAAGGGGTAATTTCAAAGTTTGGGATTAGCTGATACAAACTACTAAATATAAAACAGATAAACAAGAAGGACCTAGTGTATAGGATAGGGAACTATATTCAATATCTCATAATAACCTAATGGAAAAAATATGAAAAAATTATATATGCATGCATAACTTAATCACTATGCTGTACACCAAGAACTAACACAACACCGTATATCAACTACACTTCAATTTAAAAAACAAACAAACCTGGGGTGGGGGGGAAAGAGTGCCTGGAGTGTGAGGTTTCTGAAGATTGTACTTAGGGCTGAGGAGAACTGAAGGACTACTGGGAACCATATTCTGAAAAATTCTAACTCACGTGATGAGTTCAGATCTCCGTACTTTCGGGTTAAGGTCTCAGTGGAAGTACATACACAATAAAACAATTTGACACATGTGAATTAACGTAAACCTGCTGGCTCATGGATCGGCAAACTTTTCACGTACGGGTCCAGAAAACTAAATATTTTCGACTTAGCAGGCCAGTTTTCAGCGCACCTACTCAACTCGGAGGTAGGAGCACAGAAGGATCCAGAGACGATACATAAATGAGTGGGCATGGCTGTGTTAGAATAAAACTTGATTTATGGACACTGAAATATGAATTTTATTTAATTGCCAGACGTCCTAAGACATTAAATTTTCCCATTAAAAAATAACAATAAAGACTGTTGTTAGCTTGCAGGGCATACAAAAAAGTTACCAGCTGAAGTCGGCCCACAGTCCTTGTTTGCCGATTATTTCCGAACTCTGAGAAACCCTTAGCAAGTTTTTTTTTTTTTAAGGAAGAACAAAGAGCAAGGTAAAAGAAAGGAGGAAAATACCAATCTAAATAACTCAGAGAAGGGGTAAAAATGGTTTAGTGCATACATTGTTCTGAACAAACCACCTTACTCCTATGGTCCTGGACTTAACTCTTACCTTGCCTAAAGCACAGCAAGCCAAAACGCTGACTCCCAGGTCTCCAGCAAAGAGAGGCTTTATCCGCAAAGCAGCCAAGCAGGGAGACAAGCCACAATTTCACCTCCGAAGAGCAAGGGGCCTGGAGCAACCGTGGATAAGAAACAACGCGTCAGCGCGGCTTGAGGCGCGAGGAGCGAAAGGCGAGACGCCTGCAAACAGCTGCGGTAAGCATGGTTCTGCGCAGGCGTGACTAAGCTACGGGCCCCTGCATGGTCCAAAGAGCGCGCAACAAAAACTCACGCATGCCCAGTTGAAGGGTTTGGGGTCCTATGCCGTCCTAACCAGATCAGCTCAAACAAGACCAGCTGACTCCAAGTTCCTGGAAAACAACTCCGGCTGCTTGGAGGACATGTAAGGTTTTTTTTTTAGCAATAATTAAAATGAGCATGATTAGTGACAACAGGTTACAGGTGAAATGGTTATAACTAACGCTTATCCACGGTTTCAGCATCTTTGTGAGATTTAGAAAAAAGCCCATCTTCTCAGGTGGAAGCATAGGCTCTAAAGAAAGCTACAATAACTGGTTTTCAGCTTCACTCGCCCAATGCCAAATATTTTTGGTTGAGGCATATTTTGCACAACTGTTCCTTGCAGCCCTGGATTCTGCATTATCCCATCACCGTTCATCTTTTTTCACCTCTTTATTTTTATTTGTAAATAAATTCTCATGTAACAATCTCTCATGAGCAGAATATTAAATATTAAGTATATGACATTTTTACTTTCTGTCTCTCAACAGCCATTAACCATGAGTAATAAAGGCTTGGGCCAATAAAAGATGAATGCTACATCTTCTATCTTTTACTTTAAGTTTTATGACTATTGCATAATCTTCTCAAGAGAAAAAAACATACTCAGGTCCTTTTTGCTGAGCTGATATGGAGAGTTAATTGAGGTCAGGTGGCAGTTAAACAAATGCATGCAAGAAGAAGAGTTATAACTAAGAATATTAACATACCTTACAAAATCAAATACAGTAAATCATAAACAAAGTGAACCAAAAAAATGAATCTGAGGAGAATTGAGCATCATCTTTACAGGTTGAAATAAGTAGAGCTACAATGTTGATGGTTAACAGAGTTTCTGTGACCTCAAACTCTCAGCCACAAATGATTACTGGTTTTTAGATACCTTCTGGGTTTTTCCTTGGCACCTTGTTACACATAGGTTGTTCAAGGAATTAATGCCTGCGTTGTATTCGAATTTGAAACACATTAGGCTAAGAAAATTAAATTATTTTATATTTTACATAACTTTATCAATGTTTATTTCTTCAGTGAAGCCAATATTGTTTTGCCAATTCTTGTTTCTTCCATTCTTGAGGTTCCATGACTATAAAACAAAAATGGTAGTTTCATGTTAATTCAGAGAAGCATCACAAAATTTCAGATTCTAATAGGCCTCCTTTCAAATGCCTTTTCCACCAATTCGAATATGTAACTTTGGACAAATTGCTTATTTCTATTAAGCAGTAAATTCTTCATCTCTTAAAGTCATCATAATTCCTACTTTACAGCTGTTTGGGGAGGACTGAAGGTAGATATAGTCAAGATAAAGTTTAAGTTATAGGTAACATAATAAAACCTCACAAAAAGAAAGGATGATTGTTATACAAATCTACTCTGAATTTTCAAATCATTATTAAAAGGGTATGCATTTATTAGTATGAGTGAATCTTATCTTTTCCTTAAGTTATTGACAATGTTTTTACTGCTCTGATATGTTGCATGCCTGACATTTACATGCATTAGGAATTCAAACACTTCATTTGCTTATGAAATTGAATGGCCTTCCCAAAAGACAACATACCTTATACAATATAATTATGTGGTAAGATGTGGCAAGAGAAATCCTAAAAAAATTTCCATTCACAAATTTCTAATCATTCTTTCTTAACCCATGTTAACATCATTACCTTAAGTATAGGCGAACCAGATAAGGTGTAATTTGATATACGACCCTGCAACATACAAAATTCAATGTCTTTTCTCCCCAGTAACTGAAATTCTATGGAAACTGGTTTATCTGGAATTAAGCTTCCTCTCTAATTCATATTGCTGAATTTCCAATAAATACAGCTAATTAAGGCTCAAACGACAAAATAAGAGAGGTTTTATCAGATTTTTCAGACAGAGGAGATGGTTAGCATAGGGATGAAGAGTCATGGAAATTAGGAGAGTGAGGTAGAACTAAAGGTGGGTTTGATCCCTGGCTCTATTGTGAATAAACATACTTGGTATAGAATTTTGGTTTAACTACTTGCTCTCTCTTTCCTTCATTTGTTATATGGGAGTAATGATATTTCCCACCACTTGTTGTGAGGATTAAACGAGTTAAGAAATGAATATGTAAAGAACTTAGAAGAGTACCTACCATCTATGATGATGATGATGATGATATCCACATGGATGTGCCACAGAAAACTGAATGTCAGCTTAGAAAATAAAGTACACCCTTTCCATCTTTCTTAAGCTTGCTCCTTTTCCTTTCTTATGGTTCCCAACCCCAAACCTTTCTTAATCACCCAAATGTAAAACCTGACAGTCATCTGGGGATCTCTCTGCACTCATCCCTTCCACATCCAATCAGTCATCATGTTTGTGAACTCTACTTTGTAAATGTCTTTTAAATAGGTCCCTTCTCTTCATCCTCTCTGTTATGATTGTAACTCAGATGGTCATTATTTGTTTTGAGTCTCATAATTATCTTACATCTGGTTTAGTTGCCTTGATAGTGGGACCTTTTCTCCAGTAACTTGTGTCCAAGATAGCCTCTGATGATCATCACCTCTTCTGTGCATGCTCTTCAAGAGGCTGCTATGACCCTGAATCAGAGTTTGTTGTTGCTGGTGGTGGTGGGTTTTTGTTTTTTTTTTCTGACCAATAGAACATGGTAGAAGTTATAGTGTGTGACTTCTGAAAAGCACTGCAGCTTTCTCCTTGGTCCTTTGGCCTGTAGCCATCATGCTGGAAGGACACTCACACAGCCCCACAGAGAGGCCTACTTACAGAGAAACTGTGGCCCCTGGTCAACAGCCAGAAAAAACTTGCCAGTCATGTGACAGAGTCACCTTAAAAGTGTATCTCATAGCCAGTTAAGCCTTCAGATGAATTCAGCACCAGCCAACATTCTGACTGCAACCACATGAGGACCCTGAGTCAGAACCACTGAGTCAAGCTGCTCTTCAGTTCCTGAAGGCCAGAACTTGTGAAAGATAATAAATCACTCTTGGTTTTGTTAAGTTACTACATTTTGGGGTGACTTGTTATGTGGTATCTTTCTTGAGACCCCCTAAACCAACAGAATGATCATTTAAAAACACAAATTCAGTCATGTTGCTTCCATGTTAAAACCCTTCAATGAGCCCTGTATGCCTACCAAATTCAAATCAAAACTTTTAGTCCTCATGAAGTTTTAAAGCTTTCCTCCTGCATATTTTTTCTGCCTCATCTCCATACATCTTATGCTCCACACATACCCACATATGCATACCTACATGCAATATACCATCTTCAGTCTTTTGCATATGCTCTCCTTTCTTTTCAGAATATCCACATGAGTTTATTCTACCTGGAGTACTTCTCAGCATGGGTATCATCTTCACTCTACAAGCTTTCTGGATTTCCTGAGGCAGGTAATGTCTAAGCTACCATTACACACTAAGTATATTCCCTAGTACAGTAATATCATATTTTAAAATATTTTTTTCTGTGTCTGTCTACCCCTTACCCCCCACCACCCCACCGTATTAAGACGGTGACATTCTTTAAGGCCATGGTGAACACTTAATAGGTATGAATACATAGTTGCTAAATAATTGTTTGAACAAATTGTTTCTGGTGAAAAGTTGCACTGAAGGGATTCAATCTCTGCCCCCAATTTCCTCTTGAGACATGTTAACCTACATTTTTGCATTACTTCTTTCGGTTCAAGATTACATGTCTCCACATGAAAGAGAATAATTGTCTATGTGTTTTAGATTTACTGAACTAAGACTTTGATGGCCTCATTAACCCCTGGGTTCTAATTTTCATTGGCCAAGATTATATACAAATTTATAATCATATTACAATTTCACTTGTTTCCTTTATAATCTTACTATGGTTTGGAAGTTCTCATTAGTTCACTACATTTGATTGCCCCTGTGGAACGCAGTTGTTTTGGTTTTGGCAGGGTTTTATAGTGAAGCTTCACAGCCAATTCTTGGCAGTCAATTTATAGGCTTGAAAAAGGGAATGTTAGCCAGAATGTCAATCTCTTTCATTTTATGCATATTACTGACTTAAAATTTTTAGGCTTCTAATGTAGATGACATGGAAAAGAGTATCACAACAATAATGAACAATAAGACTTATTGTGATAAAGAAAAGTCAACTTGTGAAAAGAAATTTTAAGAAGATGGACAATTATACTAATGTGAAGAAAGTGTTTTCAGGAAAAGGAAAGTTATTTCCAAATCAGATTAAGATGAACAAGCAAGATGCCAAACTCTAGCTCTTAGATTAACTGAAAAATGGCAGTTTGTTTCAATCAAGATATTGAAACATTCATAAATCTCTCATTTAAAGATACCAAACTGCTTAAAGCTTTGACTCAGTAGACCATTTACTAACACATTACTTCTCTTAAATATGTGAACTAAATTATTGTATGAATTAAAGTGGTTTTTCAAATAGGCAAAAAAATATTATACTGGTTTTCAGCAGATGTGGGCAATACAAATTTATCTAGCTAGAAAAAATTATTAGTAGACATTTCTTGTGAGCTCTCAGAACATTAATTAAAATCTAGTCAATAAAGGACTGAAATATAAAAATATTATCTTCTTCAAATGTCTTGTTACATGTGTTTATGTGCTTGTTTTAATCTGCAAAATGCAACCAGGTATCAATCCAATACTCAATGTTTCCAAAAATGTGGGTGAAAAGCTGGGATTAATGAAAGTTATTATCAAAAAAGTTTGCATATATAAAAACAAGGTCATATTTATAAGTCACAAGCAGAGAAAAATCAATCATCAAAAAATATCCTTGGAAATCATTAAATTGTACTAAATTAGCTATTTTTCAGGGTTCAGGAAAAGTGATATAGCAGTACTTAGAGCACCAAAAATAAAATTATTTTTATATCACTTTCACATTTTAATACATTTGACAATTTAGTTCTCTTATTAAGTCAGGCAGAACAATAAACATTGAGAAAATACACTTATTAATCTGTATTCAGAGCACTTATCAAACAGAAAGTTGAAATGAAATTGCTATAACAATTCTGCTTCTGTTAACAATTTTTCTCTATTTGGGACATTTCCAGATGCTTATAACTTGTCAAAAGTCAACCTCTGACTGTAAACTTTAGTGTAAACTACTGAATATAAATACACTATGTACTAATCCTATGGTTCTACTTTTATTATTGTCATAGAAATATTTAAAGCAACTTGCTTATCATGAGGTACAGAATTTTAGCCAGCTGAAACATGATTAAAGACAGGATCAGTTGTATAAACGTGAAATTGGAGCCATTTGCTGACAACCTATTTACTTTCAGGCTATTGGGAAAATATGTAGAATATTGTGAAAGAAATGGATCTGCTTTTTCACTTATATATTACAAATGCCCACAATAATGCCTACTATGTGGTTAGTACTTAATAAATATTTGATAAATTCATTTAACGAGGAGGTGAGCAGGCAGTTACCTACATCTAACTTGGTTTCTTTATATTCAGTGTTTAAGGATTATATGGCAACAGTTTAAATGAATAAATACTGACCAAGAGGCATGCTTTAAAAGGGAAAATACGTATTTTGATGTTAGGTGAATAGATTTTCATTTAGATAGGTTTATACAACAAACAATAGTTGCATGCCTACTATGTGCCAGGCAAAACTACTAGATAGTAATTTCTAGAAAATGAGTTCCACCCTCAGATTATCCTAAAATCCCTACAACCTTCCACAACCAGAAATGGAATAGACTTCATTGGATGGGCATATCCAAAAATATAACTTACTAAGGGTCAGTGCCTCTTTAGCCAAACCTAGTCTTCTCTTCATCACAGCATATTTGCCTAAGAATCCTGAATCAACTGTTCTGGAAACCTGATTGGTGTATGTACTCTGAATTTTGTGAGGATATATATTATAGAAATGAATGTGTGGTTGAGCCAGGTTCTTCAGCTATCTAAGGTCAGACACTGTCGAGAGGAAATGCTGAAGTCTAACGGCAGATTCCTCCAAGTTTTTGTTGGAAAGGCACCTTGGAAAGTTCACCCAAATCAAATCCAAAAGGCCTGTCTTCTACCCCAGTGTACAGCTGGAAGGAACAAAGCTGAGCTGGGATTGTGGTGGGATTGATACTGCATGGACACTCCCATCATTAGGCACTATCTGGGTTAATTTGCTGTGAGCTGGTTCAACCTGGCCATCTCTTAGGAGCGCACTTTAAATGTTCTGAGAAAGAGCCACCCAAAGTGTATGAAGAGGTAGGGACAAAAGAATAACAATGTACGTTGGCTTGCGCCCTTCTTCAGTTTACCAGGAGCAGAGGCGAGCCCTATTTACAAAGTACCAATTCCTCTCACCCTTCAGGCTTCCAGGATCAAGTCCAAAGAACTTAACCGGGCCACCCATCTGTCTTCACGGGAACTCCTCTAATGGAGAATAAGGTCATATCAACCATTCTTGTCTGTTTATTTCTGTGGGAAATGTTGAGTCACTTTCTGACAGCAACCCTAGGTAAAAACAATAATTCATGTGTTAGGTAGATAATGGATTCCCTGCAAACCTTACTGATTGGTTCAGCCACCGATAGTACCATTGAACTTTAATCTCTAGGTCAATGTAATGTCTCGAAAAAGAGATGGACATTTCACTGGTCCATATTGATCAATCACACAATCCTTACAACCTTCTAATCATGAGCTTCAGGTAGACTCACACACAGGCAGCACTCCACAAGGGCTCTTTCCTTGGGGCTTTATATGGCAATAATACTAGTGACACTTCAGTCTCCCTGACATTTCATTACTCTAGGAGTCGTTGCCAAAGCCTCAATCTTCAGTCTAGACCGCACTCCTCCCGAGTCTGTTCTATCATCATCCTCATCAATATTTATTCTCTTTACTGGCCTTGCTCATTCCAGACTAAGATTACTCAATGCGTTGTTTTCAAAGCAGACTTAGTTGAAAATGCAATGTTCACTGAGAGCATTTCAGATTAATACAAGTATTCATAGAGGAGCAATAAACCAGGTCAAGTATTTTCAGTTTTTTTTTTTCACAAACAGCAATGAGTTCATATGCTTTTGTGCTTTTTAGACAGAGATACCAGAGGAAGGTAATGTTGGGATGAACTGTTACTTAAAATGTATGTATATAAATGTATGTATGTACGTATGTATACCCACATGCATTGTTACGTATTTTGAGACGTTTTAAAATCTTTTGTATAACAAATCATCCGATGAGATTTTGGAGGTTATTTCATATTTACAGATGGATATCTGCTTGCTCTGCTTTAAGAAAATGAAGGCATTAAAAGATTTGTGAAAACAGGCTTTAAAAACCTTCTCAATTATCAAAAGTTCTATCAAAATGTTGTTCCAAAGCCAAGTTGTCAGGGACTCATAAGTATTATGTTTCTTCTAACCTTCATAGACAAGTATCAAGGGCTTTATCAACACATCCAAAGAATTTGAGATATTGTTGCATTCAAAACATAAATGGGCTCACCCAGTGAAGATGATATTTTGCAGCATTTGTTTTAGGAATGGGAAATCTCATTTGGCAATATTTAGGGAAGACACATTTAACAGAGTAATATTCACAAGTGATACTGCTGCAAAGCAAATTCAAACCCAAACGTTCATATTCTTTTAAAACAAAGATTTTATGTAAGATTCTCCACCCTCCCTTCCCACTCCAATGAAATGCTGGGTCCACGGGTATTTTGCTGTGCTCATTTTTTGGAATCTTTACTGTCCTTATTTTTGTTGACCAGTTTAGTTTAATTTACTTCAGCAGCTGGGTGGCTGATTTATCTCTAAAAAAAAAAAAAGTATTTCCCCTATGAATAATTCAGACCTGTGCTGGTTATAAAATTGCATCTTTGGCTCTCTCCACAGCCAACTGCTTCTTTCAAGTAGCAGATTCCAATCCGTGAGTTTGTATCATGGGTCTGACATCTAGGGGAAAAAAATAAAACCCAAGACTTGTTTTAAACCAACTTTCATTTTCTCTTCACAGGTGCCAGGATTTGCTTTTTATTGTTGTTCATCAGAAAATAAAGTAGTTACTGTTTTCTCCAGATCCTGTGTTCTGGGCTTCTTTCTGTGCATTGAAGTTGAAAGAGGAACAAAGCAGGAACAGAGTGCTGTAAATAAATTACTTAGGATTGTGAACATCTGCAAAATTTGGACAATACAAATATATGTATCTTTTTGCCCCATGTAGGGAAAACAACTGCTAATTTTCACAATTTAGGATTCTACCATCTTCTTGAACTGTATTTTGAAAATTAATTTTGCATATGAGACACATTTCTTCTTACTCGCAAGATACACTTTTTATTTTTAAACATTTTAAAGATATTATTCAGATGAGTATTAAAACTCAGGTAAATCTTTCAAAGTCATATTGAAGTGGCCCCAACTGATTTTTCTTGTTTTCTAATTAGAAAGAATATATACAATTAACTTAAAAATGTTTGTGTATATAGACTGTTTAGTATTTTTATTTTTCACTTGATAAACAAAGGAAGAAGTCATACCTTTCCTTTAACAATGTATATTTTAGTTAGTTTCATAGGACTCTTTGAATATTGTCCTACTGTCTAATCCAGTTTCAACTTACTTTAAAAAATAGATTAAATTTTTTTACTTGTATACATAATATATCCCACTGTTTTTTCATTTTAATACCTATTTGTCAAGTAGACCAGGAGTTATCTCCATCCTATGACTCAGGGTTCAAAGGAATTATGGGACAGTGTGCCATATAATGGTACTATCACTGTTAAACCTGCTAGGGGTCACTGTGTATAGTACAGTCTTAATTATCTCAACTTTGCCTTCAGCTGTTCCTCAAAAGGCCCTCCATTTGTACACCACTGAGAATAAGATATGGTTAGTAATGAGTTCTGAGCTATCCTAATGTTTTATGATTATTATAGTAACATATATCTTGTTCAGTTCTACCTTTAAAATACAATAGATTTCAATGCAGGTAGATTTCTGAACCGTTAGGCAAACAAGACCAAAAGATAGTTGAAAAGACACTGTTTTCAGTCCTATTTTGGGCAAGGGTGCTTTTGGTTTTGTTTTAGACTTTTAACAGTTTGGTGACTATTCTACTTTATACCATTTTTAACTGCTCGATGTAGAACAAAACAGATTTACTTCCTCTGGACACAACCCAAATTCTCTTCTTTCACGATGAAAGCAAAGCCTTTGTTGCCATGTGTGTGAAATGGAGCCAAGAAAATCATTCGTGACACTGAGAGGTAATCCTTATTACTGGTCTTTTGAGCCCCTCCAGGTTAGTTCTTAATAGGATTCTACAGTGAATGCCCCTCGATGGCCTATGTTGTGTCCTCGAAGTGTGAATATGTGTACATGTGTGTATCTGTGGTTCTTGTGTCACGCAGTGCAAGATCTATCTTCCCTTGTGGAAAAATGAAACAAAAATTAAAAAACAAACAAAAGAAACCCCAAACGAAACAAAACCAACAAAAGCCTACTCACATTTTGGTTAGGGAGGTAGAAGCAAGCTAGAGGAGGAGTCTGCATGGTGTTCTTTCACACAATATACTGACAACTAAATTCCATTACTTGAGGAACTAAACCACATTTTCAGGATACTAAACCAGCCACTTGAGATAGCATTTGAAGTTAGACAATCCAACAATTACACAGGTGTCATTTCTATCAGGCCATGAAGGAAGTGGGACACTTTAATTACCTTCATGCTTGAGTTTTGGGTTTTTTCTTTTTTAAGTAGATGAAATATTACTCAGCCATAAAAAAGAATAAAGTAATGCCATTTGCAGCAACATGGATAGGCCTAGAGATTCTCATACTAAGTGAACTAACTCAGACAGAGACAAATATAGGATGTTGCTTATATGTGGAATCTTAAAAAAAAAAAAGATACAAATTTTATTTACAAACCAGAAACAGAATCACAGACATAGAAAACAAACTGTGGTTACCAGGAGGGAAAGTGGGGTAGGGGGGAGGGATAGATTAGGAATTTGGGATTAACAGATACACACTACTATATATAAAATAGATAAACAATAAGGACCTACTGTATAGCACAGGAAACTATATTCAGTTTCTTGTAATGAGCCATAATGGAAAAGAATCTGAAAATATATCTATGTATGTATGTATGTGTATAACTTAATCACTTTGCTGTACACCGGAAACATTGTAAATCGACTACACTTCAATAAACAATAAGAACTTTTCAAAAAAAGTAGAAAGCTTTTTCCTTCTTACTTCAAGTAAGCAGTATGGTGTTTTGCCTTCTCTCATCATCTCTTCTGATGACAGTGTTTCCCTATTCACCCAGTGACTTTAGTGGTGAGATCAATAGTAAAAAAAAAAGTAAGTGAGTTCTAGAGTTAGACTGATCGGGCTTGTGTCAAAGTGGATGTTATGTGATGTTGATTAAGGTTCATCAATTCGCCAAGCCTCAAACTTAGTTCCTATTATCTATAAAAAAGGAAAATAATAGCACTTCACGTTTCGTTCCTCCAAGAATTAACTGAGACAATGCACGTACAACACTTCAAATGGTGCTTGGCGTATAGCGAGTTGGCAAGAGCTGTCAGCTAGCATTATGGCCATCTCTTTATTACATGACTTCACTGTTGCATTGACATGTCTAAAAGACTAGTTCTCCATATGTACTTACATTCCATGAACTATTTGTTGCTGGAGGCAAAAAGAGACTAAAATTGTTAAACAGCCTCTACCAGCAGCATCTTTTAACGTGAGCTTTGGGAAATGACAGAAGAGCTTGAATAGTTATCTGTTTGTTCCCTCTGGACACTGGGAATTAGGGGGAATTCTGACTAAATTTTCTTGTTTGATTTGGGCTATTAATTAAAGTACCAGTTCATTTTGGAAGACAATTTTAAGCACCTGGAATGGTCAAATTAGGAAAACCTCTTTCTTTCTAGTTGCTGCCTTTTTTTCTTAATTGCGGTGTTTATTTTACATCCAGAGAGACATTGCCAGGGGAGGTTTTTAGTCCCACTCCTGCCAATAATTAGATGATTGTAAACAAGATAATTAGGATTTGCTTTCTTTTTTACAGCATTATAAGCAAAATGACTGTGAAAAATAGAAAGACTTTTCTACTTGTGTGTCCTTCACATGTTGTTATATTCGTGGGAAATTGGAACAATTAATAGTGAATTAAAAAAATCAATTCCAACGAAAGCATAACTGTAATTTGATGCAAAATGTAAGTCCAGATCTCTGGATAATTTAAATTTTGAGTCCATCATATGATAACAATATATTAACTCAATTCTAATCCTCTAAACGAACCTCTACCAACCTCTGCTTGGCAACGTCCCTCTTTTATGATCATATCAATTAAGCAGAAAAATCATAAAAGGGTTCTTTTAATTTTTTCAGATCAGATAATAATGAAAAA